TTCAAGATACCGAAAATACAAAGTCTAGTGTACTCTAGGATAAAAATTTATCCCTACTTTGATTTATTATTGTTAAAAGTTTGCATATCATTGCATATTTGGCATATAGTATTGGAGTATATTTCTTAATATCTTGTGCATATTTTTGTGAAAATACGGCATATTTTACGAATTTTTCGTGCATATAATCCGAGCCTTACTGATAACTATAAGCAGTTGAAACACGCTGTAACTTATAACTTGTCGTTTTTGTTGCATATGTTGCATTGGTCGCATGATGTAATTTTTTTTCAATTGCTCTAGGACATTCATGACACCTACCAAGTTTCCTGTCTGCTTTAGCCTAATGTTTGAAAGAGTACACTTTTATTCAACAGTTTCGGAAAGCTAATTTATTATGTTTTTTACGATATTGAACTTTTTCTCTATATTTCAAATTGCTTCTAGCAAGATAATCTGCTAATTACATCAATATACCTAGTAGGTTTCTGAATCAATATTTAAATTCGCCGTCATTTCTTTAAGTTCATATTTTAGTAGTGATCTTTTTCGTTCTCGTCGATACATTCAATAATATACAAAAAGATTGAAATAAATAATTGGTCACCCAAACACCTTTGGGGGTCCCCACGATACCCGAGTTAACTTTAAAAAGGTATGCAAAAAAACGTAGAGTCGAAAAACCCCGCATGGGTATCTAGGGGTTAAAAGTGCAAAATAGAAAAAATAGTATTAAACACTCGGTTGTTCTTCAACTTGCCACGACGTGGCTTGTATCAAAATTGAAACTCTTTCAGTAAACTTATCAATTCGGTGGCGTACATCAAAAATCTTGAGAATTATCACGCAAAATTCTCTAAATTTATTAAAAATACACTGTGAAAACCGTAACATAGAAAAAATTAGAAACTGATATCAAATCCTGTCAGATTCGAAAATGTTATGTAGAAACAAAAATTGTAGGGCGCTCACGGCTTTGCTGCTTGCTCCCCTGATCTCACTATGTGATTCGCAAATGTTTTGGCAAAATTATCGGGGGTTTTGTCCCCAAATAAAACCCACACTGTAAGATTTTGTTGAAATTTAGAAGGACCTAGACCTCACATTATAATTTACATTTAAAGGGGGATCGCGGCTTTGCCGCTCGCCGTCCTCTTCTAGTCTTCACACTATCTGATTTGCAAATTTACCCCCGAGTTTTTTGAAATTTATTAATAAAAAAGAATTAAAAAAACACTCTTAAAAGCGCAAAATAAGAAAATAGTATTAAACACTCGATTATTCTTCCACTCGTTGCTACGTGGCTTGTATTGAAATTTCAAACTGTTTACAGTAAACTTATCAGTTTGATACTGCTTTTAGAATTTTTGCTAATGAACATGAAAAATCTGGAGAGTTCATTTTCAGATTACACACAACTTCTGCAACTTGTACTTTAATATACTATTCCATGTTTCTGGTATTTTATCTTACTTGAAATTTCTCTGTATACACTTGATTATTTCTTAACTCGCCACTACGCGGTTTGTACCCAACTTTTACTCCTGCATTGGTTTTTTGTCATCTGGCGCAATTAAGAACCAAACTATATAAGTTACTCGACTTTAAAGCGAGAAACTTCCTTGGAAGTAAAGTTTTATTAATTAACGTTTCTATTAATTGAAACTTAGTTTTGTGTACTGTAAGAAGAATAGATTTAATTGGAGAAATTGCACCAAAAATTGTAATTTACCCGCTGTCGAAATAATTGTTAAAGCATTTATTAATAAAGTGAAACTCCATTTATATTGTTTGATGTTATTTACTTTAATTTGTGGCGAGAGAAATGGTCCGAACGTAGAAAAACAGGAGAATTTTGGGGTCAGACAACAGCAAGCAGCATTTACCGAACCAGCTGACGTTCATAATTAATGGTTAAACATGCAATCGTTGGGAATTGTGGTGGTTTTTTGTGATGGAAGAGGCGTTGGATCGGGTAAGATTTATATCAAAGCCGCAATTTGCTTCCAAATAATGGCGGTATTTATGTTTTATTACATGTATTGTGCTTTTATTACCACACCAAATGTTACGCTTTCACAAAAAGTTTGCTATTGCTGTTGTAATTTGGAAAAATGAACAGTATTTGCTATTTTGTAACAACTGTATTAAATTAGGTGCCGATAGTTGGACAGTACGGGAGAAATGGACCACATTTTGTAGTCCACCTTTCCCGGATTTACCCTATTTGGTGAAAAACGTTGACTTATGCGTTTGGGATATTTAATATGTTTAGAAAGTAAAAAATAATAGGGGGTTCGCGTCTTTGACGCTCGCCCCCGTCAGAACTCACAATATCGACATTTATAGGGGGCTCGCGGCTTTGCCGCTCGCTCCCTTTTCTACATCACTGATTCGCAAATGTTTCGTCAAAATCATCGGGAGTTTCGCCCTTGAGTATTGAAATTTATTAATAAAAAAAATAAAAAACAGTGTTAAAAGGGCAAAATAGGAAAAATAGTATTAAACACTCGGTTGTTCTTCAACTCGTCGCTACGTGGCTTGTATCGAAATTTGAAACTGCTTTCAGTAAATTTAGCAATCGGTGGCGTACATAAAAAAAATAAGAATTCTGATGCAAAATTCTCAAAATTTATTAAAAAACAATGTAAAAACCGCAGAATGGAAAAAACTAGAAACTGATTTGAAATCCTGTCGGATTCAAAAATGTTGTGTAGAAGGTAAAAATTATAGGGGCTCGCGGCTTTGCCGGTATTTATGTTTTATTACATGTATTGTGCTTTTACTACCACACCAAATGTTACGCTTTCACAAAAAGTTTGCTATTGCTGTTGTAGTTTGGAAAAATGAACAGTATTTGTTGGACAGTACGGGAGAAATTGACCACATTTTGTAGTCCACCTTTCCCGGATTTACCCTATTTGGTGAAAAACGTTGACTTATGCGTTTAGGATACTTAATATGTGTAGAAAGTAAAAATAATAGGGGGCTCGCGTTTTTGACGCTCGCCCCGTCACAATTCACAATATCGACATTTATAGGGGGATCGCGGCTTTACCACTCGCTCCCTTTTCGACAGCACTGATTCGCAAATATTTCGTCAAAATTATCGGGAGCTTCGCCCTCCTGTAGAACTCACACTATCAGATTTTGTCGAAATTTATATAAAAAAATAAATAAAAAACAGTGTTAAAAGCGCAAAATAGTAAAAATAGTATATACAGGGTGACCCAGGGGTGCGTGCATGCTCAACAACTTTTTTCTATCGAAGTTATCGAAAGCTCATAAAAAGTGCCATGTAATGGTGCAATAAAATATAGAGTGTTGTATTTAAAAAAATCGAGTTATTGCCATTTGTATTTTGTCATTTTTAAAAAATCGTAGTAGGCGATGGAACATCAACTCCGAGTTTGCCTTTTTCTCAGAAGATGTGCTAAAGTTTAAGGAATCGACGGGAAAAAATAGTTAAGTTGTCTTGAATAGTTTTGAAGTTATGAATTTTTTGTGGGTCCTATGCACGATGCAATTTTGACACATAAATTGGCATAAGTCAAAAACTATTGCAGGTAAATCTAAAAAACTAGGTGCGTTATATTGCCAATTTAGTGGCGAATCCAGATATCTAATAAAAAATTGTGGTTTTCATTTCAAAAAACGGAACTTGGTTGTGTATCTTATTTGGGACACTCTGTATATAAATAGAAATATTTTTATAATGTGCTTCATTGTTGGATATATCGTTTTAAAAAAATCATGTCGATAACTTGGATAGAAAAAAAAGTTATAGAGCGTGCACGAACCCCTGGGTCACCCTGTATATAGTATGTATCGAAATTTGAAACTGCTTTCAGTAAATTTACCAATCGGTGGCGTACATAAAAAAATTAGAATTCTGATGCAAAATTCTCAAAATTTATTAAAAACACTGTAAAAACTGCAGAATGAAAAAAAAACTAGAAACTCATTTCAAATCCTGTCGAATTCAAAAATGTTGTGTAGAAAGTAAAAATTATAGGGGCTCGCGGCTTTGCCGGTATTTATGTTTTATTACATATATTGTGCTTTTATTACCACACGAAATGTTACACTTTCACAAAAAGTTGTAGTTTGGAAAAATGAACTATTTTTTGCTATTGCTATTGCTATTTTTTGCTATTTTGTAACAACTGTATTAAATTAGATGCCGATAGTAATGGACCACATTTTGGAAAACCTCCTGTAGGCCACTTTTTTCGGATTTACCCTATTTGGTGAAAAAACGTTGTCTTATGCGTTTAGAGTACTGAATCTCACCTTCTAATACACAGCCTTCCATGATACTAAGTGTTAACCAAGTAAACTCTCTCAATAAAACAACTTTAATCATTGCCTCGCCATAGAGATTCTTAGCATCAAAATATAAAATGACAGTTTCAGAGGATTTTAATTTGGAACAGATTTATAATTAGCCTTTCACTTTACACACATATACTGACATAATGTTTTTTAGTGTTTCAAGCACGTATTTCAGAAATTTTCAAAAACATATTACTTAGGCCAGGTTTGCAAAAAAAATCAACTTTGAAACGGCATTATGGGATAAATCTGGCAGTATTTCATTATGTAATAAATCGAGCATTCCGTTTTTAACGTTATTCGCGGAGCAAAATCTCAAAGTAAACACTATTTATCACAAAGGCCGTACCTACACCTTTTATAACAAAGTATTCTTGCGATGATAGTATATTAATCATTTTAAGCTTAATTAAACGGTAATCGGGCGGTTTTCGAACTCCTTTGTAATTATATCGACTATTTCATCGAAGTTGGGAAACAATCTTTCAGCAAAACTGAAACCTGAGCACTTTTGGATCTTAATTTTTGCCCCACTTTGCGTCCATTGTCGTGTAATTTAACACAAGTTGAATTAAATAGTAGTTTAATATGCAATTTGATTAATATTAGTAGCGGACAAAGACACAGAACACCTATTCAATAGTATATTGTTCGCATTGTTTCAGATCGCACAATGGCCAGCTACCATTTGGGTGCATCATGACCGAACAACCAAAGAATAATGACGCAAAATAATGCGAGGAGATAATGTAATGGAGGTAAGGAAATTACATTCTCTCCACCTTCTCTCATGCACGCGCCGCACGATATTTAACCGAACTTAGCAAAGCCTGTGGACGTTATCTCCGTTCTCATTTAGTTTAGACAATGTGTTTTTGCATGCAACCTTTGAACGGCGTTTATGTAATATTGACATTTCTAGCTTAGACGATAGTTGGAAAGAGTTTCATTACTGACTTCTATTACTTACTTCCGTTTTTAAACCTTTTTTACAAAAATAACGCAAACGTCTCGGTAAACTTCTTAATAACTTGGCGGAAATGGAACACTTTCCCAGCTTTGTGTGTAATATACTATCGTTGCAAATTCAAATCAATTTTTTGATTACACAAGACGACCAAAAAAGTCATGTCGTGACAACTTGACACATTTTCTATCATTTTGTTCGTCTCAGTAAGACAAATCAAATGCACTAAAAAAATTTCAAAAAGTCCACACACTTTGAACTAAATATTTTTTTTATAATTGAAATGAATTTAAAATACTTTAACTTTAAAAAATTATTACTCAATAACTATTAGGCCGATTTCTTCAAATAAAGACCATTCTAAAGGGATGGACTTGCCCTTTAGAATGATATGCAATTTGAAATTGAATATTGGCAAACTTTTCTTTGAACAGTGTTCGAAGAAGTTCGAAGTAAATCGAAGTAATCTACGAAAAACCCTACGAGTATTTTTTTTTCTTCATCACCATCGTGTAGAGCATCTTTTTATTAGTAAGAAATTAAATTTTTAAATAAATATACCTAGTAGTTTTTAAGGTATGATTTTTGAAGTTAAGGTTTGCTATTCAGGTATTGCGCCATATAGGAGAAATGCATGTTAATCTTACTTAAAATTGCATTTTTATAACAGTATTTGTTTTAAGGCTCTTCTTTTCTTAAAAATGGTCAATTGCACCTTCTTTGTTCTAATTAGAATAAACAAAAACTGTTTATTTACTTAAAACAAACAAAGAGTACCTGCGTACTAATAAAAGCAAATAAAGAGTTTTTTTTGTTCTAAAAATGATCATTGATCATTGAGCAAAAAGGATCTAGAAGTTTAAAGCAGTAGCTTTAAATATAAGAACAAATCTTTTTTAAATTAAATCACTTTCCATTCAGATTCCAACTTGTTCACTTTGTTCTAGCTTTTTGAACTTTTTTTTTAAATGTTCTCAGCAAATGCTTTTTCATCACTTTCAACTGATGTTGAATGCAATAAGTCTGTGAAACTGTTATCACACCAACTACTACCTACAAGCTAACTGAAGCTAATCATAGAATGTACCAACAAAATAAATCAGGTGGCTTATTGAATTTAACATCACTCGAAAGTGATGAGAAAGCATTTGCCCAGAACATTTTCAAAAAAAGTTCAGAAAGCTAGAACAAAGTGAACAAGTCGAAATCTGAATGGAAAGTGATTTGATTTGAAAAAGATTTGCCCTTATATTTAAGACTCGTGCCTTAAACGTTTAGATCCTCTTCGCTCAATGATTAGTAGTCATTTTTACAACAAAAAAACTCTTTATTTGCTTTAATTAGTACGCAGGTATTACTCTTTATTTGTTTTAAGTAAACAAACAGTTTTTGTTTATTGTAATTAGAACAAAGAAAGTGCAATTGACCATTTTTAAGCAAAAGAAGAGTCTTAAAACAAATACTTTTATAAAAATGCAATTTTAAGTAAGATTAACATGCATTTCTTCTATATGGAGCAATGCTTGATTAGCAAACCATAACTTCAAAAAATCAAATCTTGAAAACTAATCGGTATATTTTTTTGAAAATTTGGATTACAACTAATAAAGAGATGCTCTACACGATGGTAATGATGAAAAAATTTTACTAGTAGGGTTTTTCTTAGATTATTTCGATTTACTCCGAACTTCTTGGAACACTGTTCGAAGAAAAGTTTGCCAATATTCAATTTCAAATTTTACATCGTTCTAAAGCCTTAAAACAAATACTGTTATAAAAATGCAATTTTAAGTAAGATTAACATGCATTTCTCCTATATGGCGCAATACCTGAATAGCAAACTTTAACTTCAAAAATCATATCTTAAAAACTACTCGGTATATTATTTTAAAAATTTGGTTTCTTACTAATAAAAAGATGCTCTACACGATGGTGATGAAGAAAAAAAAATACTCGTAGGGTTTTTCGTAGATTACTTCGATTTACTTCGAACTTCTTCGAACACTGTTCAAAGAAAAGTTTGCCAATATTCAATTTCAAATTGCATATCATTCTAAAGGGCAAGTCCATCCCTTTAGAATGGTCTTTATTTGTAGAAATCGGCCTAATAGTTATTGAGTAATAATTTTTTAAAGTTAAAGTATTTTAAATTCATTTAAATTAGAAAAGAATTATTTTATTCAAAGTGTGTGGACTTTAAAAAAAAAATTTTTGTTTATTTGATTTGTCTCACTGATACGAACAAAATGATATAAAATTTGTCAAGTTATCACGACATGACTTTTTTTTGTCGCCTTGTGTTATTACACCGTTTTTTTAGCATTTATAATATTTTTTTGTGATGTTTGAAACTCTAGACAATAAAATAAAACTGTTCTAGCTTTTATAATATTTTGTAACGTTTATGAAATTGTCATCCAATACTTTACTTTTGAAAGTTTGCCATTACTCGAGTGGGTAAAATGATACTACGTCGCAGTTGGCAGTGTTTCAGTGACACCCAATAATAATAATGTCTTGTATCTAATCCAGTTTCAGTCTGTCCGAGTGGAGTAAAACCGCAGTTGCAATCGGTGTTTGTTGGTTTCACCGCAGCTGCTAATTTAGCTCAACGCTATTGAACTGTATTTGGCGATAGCGAGTTAATTTTATACAACAGAAGTTTGGTATGTTCATTGAAACCAAAGCGGTCAACTTGGTACGTGACAGATGTCGACTCTTGCTTTGTTCCTGTTTTCGACAAACATTAACTAACGAATCCGTGTGGCAGCTCTGCAAATTGCATTATGGAACAAAAACATAGAAATACACTAAAAAATGTGTTATCTAACAACAGCGCAAAAGTGACCACTTTTATGACTAAATGTCATAAAAATTTGGGGGTTTTGACTTTTACCAACATTATTGACATTTACTAATGTTGTTTTTTTCTTGTCTCTTCGACATTTGACATTTTGCACTACTATCTGCACCACTTAAATTAACACTGACTGATGTTTGTTTATAAGCGTTGTTCAGATTTTGTTACTTACAAAACATCTTGGTTTGTTCATTTACTTGCATTAGAAAGTAGAAGAATACGTTTTCGGATAAAGTAATACATGTTATTTGGTGTAAAAATGAGTTTATTTGGATTAACTGAATTGTTTGCCTCACTACGTTTGGCAAAATAGACGTTCGGTTAACTCGGTAAACTACCAATTTTACAATTTTGTATGTTAATTGATTTATGTTAATTTTGCACAATTTCAACACAAATCATAAAATACAAATCTAATAAACGAAAAGTACACTCAATAAATAAATCTTCGAGAATCCTAGAAATAATTGAGAAAAAAGATTTAGATAAAAACGAAAAAAATTGTAAAAATTTACAGTATGTTGGAATTGTTGTTTATTAATTGGTGCAGTTGGTAGGATATTCTATGACGGGACTTTTATTGCAAAATTTGTAGGTTTTAATCTTTAATTTGCATTTTGACGTAGAAAAAAAATATTTTAAGAAAAAGAGGCAAATTTTTTAAAGGCAGAGTTAAGTGATATGTTGATTTTTAGAGTCTATATTTGTCGCTGAAGAATAGGAAGTACTTTTATGAAAAGAAAAATTATTTTTTATAAGCAATTCAACAACTTTTAAATAGTTTTTTGTCTTAATTTTTCTAGTGCAAAGAACTTGACTGTGCAATTTTAAAATTATTAGAAGAATAAAGAAACAAATTTTTTGATAAAAAAAGTTTCTCAACTCTTGTTTTTGCCCTCCTGCCCTTATGTTCTCTTATTGTGATTATAATTTAAAAAAAATGGTGGCTTGATAACATTTCTGCCAAAAGCAGAATTTTATGTCGTTGTGCCACTACGCCCCTGGCCTGTGTCTCTGCTATAATTCAATATTTTCAAACAAAAATTTATTTTTTGGGTTTCTATGTTTTATAAACTTTTGGCTCTCTAGAAGTGCATTTCGATCATTTTGAAGTTATTTTCAGATTTTTGAAAAAAATTTGATCGATTTTTGATACCAGGAGTGGTTTACCGCAAATAACTCCGAAACTATTATCAATAACTTTTTGTGTTTGATATCGTTAGAAAGCACTTTTAATTTTCTATCTCATAAAAAAATATCACTGTCTTGTGATCATAAAATACAAATCTAATAAACGAAAAGTACACTAAATAAATAAATCTTCGAGAATCCTAAAAATAATTGAGAGAATAAATCTAGATAAAAACAAAAAAAATTGTAAAAAAATTACAGTATGTTGGAATTGTTGTTTTTTAATTGGTGCAGTTGGAAGGATATTCTATGACGGGAATTTTATTGCAAAATTTGGAGGTTTTAATCTTTAATCTGCATTTTGACGTAGAAAAAAAAATTAAGAAAGAGAGGTAAATTTGTTTTAAGAAATTCTGTATCAATCAAAGGCATCATTGGTTTATAAAGGCAGAGTTAAATGACATGTTGATTTTTAGAGTCTATATTTGCGGCTGAAGAACATGAAGTACTTTTATGAAAAAAAAAATGTTTTTTATAAGCAATTCAACAACGTTTAAATAGTTTTTTGTCTTAATTTTTCTAGTGCAAAGAACTTGACTTGGTGCAATTTTAAAATTATTAGAAGAATAAAGAAACAAATTTTTTTATAAAAAAAGTTTCTCAACTCTTGTTTTTGCCCTCCTGCGCTTATGTTCTCTTATTGTGATTATAATTAAAAAAAAATGGTGGCTTGACAACATTTCTGCCAAAAGCAAAATATTACGTCGTTGTGCCACTACGCCCCTGGCCAGTGTCTCTGC